TTTTATTTCTGCATACCCTCATAGCCTGCCTTTCTGTACTTCTGCCGTGCCACAATTATTTATTTTTAAAATGATTTTGCAGTTCCAGCAATGGTTGATTTCTTAAATGTCAAACTTTACTGTAAAACAAAACAAAAAAAAACTGTTGGGGAATAGTGAGAAGGAGGTGAATCCTGCTCCCAGAAGCCACTTCAGTGTTGGCATGCTAGCACAGCAGAACATACCCAAAGCACGGTGATGGAAACATTACCGAACACTCTGCAAATGCAGCCTTATATAGAATGCATTGCAGGAATCCAATCAGGGTGTAACTAAGGCATGTGTCACTGTGGCCAGATCAGATATACCTAGGATAAACATTACTGTTTTTGCTAAAGTAGTCAGATATAACTCAACAAGATTTTGCTGCTGCTGCTACTACTACTACTACTGCAATAATAATCATCATCATCATCTTCATCATCATCATCATTTTTATTTATATACTACTCTATCTCCCCTAGGGGACTCAGGGCGGTTTCCATGTAACAAAACACCAAAACATACAGAGTTAGCAAACGTAAGTATAGAATTATTAAACAACACATATACATTAAAAACCAATCTTACTCTATTCTTTCGTGCAAAAGTACAGGATTTCAGAATAGGCGAATTAAAAGGGCTGGACAGAGGCTAGTGCAAAGCAAGGCACGGGGCGGGGGGGGCAGGGGAATGAGTAAAGTGAAATAACTGGTCTCAACAATAGTAATAGTGGGGCCTGTGGCTGCTCAATTCCAGGGCCTGTTGGGGAACTGTCCGGAGTAATGGGTGGGGGGTGCAAGGCCAGATTCTAACAGTGGCCAGGGGTCAGTGACCCAGAACTCAAGCAACCAGAACTCTCAAGCATCTAGCACCCCTTAGCCCATTTTAGTTTTAGAAGCTCACATCTCACCACGCTAAAAGAGTGGATGTGGCTCTTAATGAGACATGCCACATTATTACGGGGTGTCTGCGCCTTGCACCACTGGAGAAATTACACCGTTTAGCTGGTATTGCACCACCTGACATCTGCAGGGAAGTAGCAGCCAATAGTGAAAGGACCAAGGCAGAGACATCTCCAGCTCATCCYTTGTTTGGGTATCAGCCAGCATGTCAATGACTTAAATCTAGAAATAGTTTTCTAAGATCTACAGAGACACTAGTTGGAACACCTTAGCAAGCGASAGTCCAAAGTGGCAGGCTCAAACCCAGAACCTCAACCAATGGCTGATACCAAATGAGAGACTCTTCCCTGGGCACACAGAAGACTGAGTGACTTGGAAGGCGCTGAACAGACTGCGCTCCGGTACCAYGAAATGCAGAGCCAATCTTAAGAAATGGGGCTACAAAGTGGAATCCACTACATGCGAGTGTGGAGAAGAGCAAACCACTGACCACCTGCTGCAATGCACCCTGAGCCCTGCTACATACACAATGGGGGACCTTCTTGCGGCAACACCAGAGGCACTCCAAGTGGTCAGATACTGGTTAAAGGACATTTAATCAACTACCAAGTTTGCAAACTTTGTGTTTTTTTAATCTGTTTGTTTGTTTTGTTCTGTTAGAAATTTAATACAATGGTCTGGTTGCCCCTGACACAATAAATAAATAGTTTTAGAAGCTTATCTGAATAAAAAGGTTTTGGCCTGCCATTGAAAGGACAACAAGGAGGAGAGCATTCTGGCTTCCTGAGGCAGAGAGGTCTGAGTCCCTCTATGGAGGTAGAGAAGATCGGGATATAAAAGTTTTAAATAAATAAATAAATAAGATACAAGGCGTAGGGGAAGCCACCAAGAAGTCGGTGTAATTTCTCTCATGTCTCCACGATTGAGATAAGGGCCTCTTCCAGTGATCTCAGAACCTGGGCTGACTCATGCAGGGAGATATGATATGCCAAATAGCCTGGACTTGAGCCACGCAGCTGGAGCTTTATAGCCAACACTTGGAATTGTGTCCGGAAACAATCCGGCAGCCAGTGGAGCTGTTGCAACAAGAGAGTTGCAACAAAAAAAACCCTCAAGACATGGCTATTCGAGCAAGCATTTGCAAATATTGAGTAACGGACATAGGAATTGGAACAACTACATAAAGAGACTGGACAATGCCTTTTAATGAGAATTTATTGATGTTTTATTATTATTGTTATGATTTTATGGATGTTAATGCTTTTTTTAATATTGTACGTGTGTTTCTATGGTATTGAATTTTGCCTTGTAAACCGCCTCAAGTTGCCGGAAGGCTGAGAGAGGTGGTATACAAATACAGTAAATAAATAAATAAATATAATAAAGAGTTGTGTGATCCCTGTAACCAACCCCAGTTAGTAATCTGACTGCAGCTCTTTGTGTCAGCTGAAATTTCCAAACACTCTTCAAAGGCAGCTTCAAGTAGAGTGCACTGCAGTAATCTAAATGTTATCACAGTAACATAATACATTTTACTATCACAGCCCATTATCACAGTTCTTATAAGCTGAAAAATACTATGCAAACCAAAAGAAACAGTGATGTGGAAAGATTTACTTGTAAGCAGAAAGTATGTCATGGCAAACTTTTACAAAGCAGTTTCACCTTGCAATCCTGCACACCTCGTTCAGAGATAAATCACGTTAAGTTCATTAGAGCGTACTCTACATTAAGTGGGAACATGCCAGAATTGAAACCTTAAGCTTTATATTGTCTTATGCCAAGATTAAAATATTACTTTCAAAATGAAAATGCTCCAAAAAGAGTAATCAAAGTTGCACAGTGCCAGGTCTGAAATTGGTGCAATGCGGTCCCCTTGTGTGACAGGTCTCTTTTGATCCATTGTAGAAATTCTCTCCAGATCTTCAGTATCTATTTGGCTCTTAATATGATCTGACCATTTGCTGGGTTATATATTAATTCTCAAGTGTTCCTGGAACTTCAAAATCCACTTGAACTGAAATATCTTTCCACAGTGCCTCAGGGCTAAGTAGCGATTGACTCAGATGAAACATTTTAGATTCAGTCGGAATTAATCTTGAAGGCTGGATTCCAAAGCCGAGTGCAGGATTTCTTTTCACCAACAAGCCTTCTGTATTCCCAAGACTCAAATGACATTTGACAATGTCTGACACATGTCTTTCAGTGTGGGGTTGTTACGTTCTATCCTAAAGCAAGGGGAGGGTTTCAGATAAAGCATCAAAGAGGAGAAGACACAGGGCATGCCAAATTCTCTGTGTAATTCCTGCATCTCTCTCTCAATACACTCATATACACAAACACCCTTTATTCAGTTAGTGATATTTCCTGAATGACTGAAGGTGCATCCACACTGTCAGGGGCAGCTTGCAACTGGCAAAAGCATCTTACCCTGCATATTCACATCATTATCACTACCTCTGAGGATGCTTGCCATAGATGCAGGCGAAACGTCAGGAGAAATGCCTCTAGAACATGGCTCTATAGCCCGAAAAAACCCACAAGAACCTAGTGATTCCAGCCACGAAAGCCTTCGACAATCACTGGATTGTTTTTCGGGCTATATGGCCATGTTCTAGAGGCATTCTCTCCTGATGTTTTGCCTGCATCTATGACAAGCATCCTCAGAGGTAGTGATGATGATGTGAATATGCAGGTAGTTTCTTGATTGACTTAATTTCCAGTCACAAAGAAGAAAAAGTTGAGGGGTACAGAAGACAAAGGGGTATTATGCCAGATAGCTAGAGGCTTGGCTACCCATTCAAAAGGCTGATTTTTTCATCTTTGCTTAGCCTTGTCTTCCATGAGAATCATAAGCCTCTGGACACATCTGGTCAGGTAAATAATGTAAAACACAGCCCTAGCAAGAAAGATAAAGTCTTTAACTAACACACAAAGGATTTCATCAATTTTATTATTTTATTTATTTGCTGCATTTGTTGACCGCCGCTCTCAGCCCTAGGGCGACTCGCGGCGGTGTACAATAACCTTGGGAGATCGCTGGAGGGATATGTCTCAATGATCCAGTGATTTACGTTCCTAGGAGTTTATGTAGAGAGAACCGGGTAAAAGGATGTCTTCACAATACAGTTGATTTGATGTTGTACAATGTCAGTCAATACAACATACATAAAAATATTATTTTATACATTTACTAGCTGTCCCCTACCTCACGTTGTTGTGGCCCAGTCTGTGTATATGTGTTTTGTGTGTGTATATTTTTGTCTATATGTGTATATGTGTGTGTGGTTTTGTGAATGTGTTGTAATGTGGGGTTTGTTTGTTTTTTGCTTTTTGCTTTTTAAGTCTCTTCTGCTGTGTTTTTCAGTGTTTTTATGACTGATGGTCACTTGTTGGCCTAATAGGTGTATTATGTCCAAATTTGGTGTCAATTCATCCAGTGGTTTTTGAGTTATGTTAATCTCACAAACGAACTTTACATTTTTATTTATATAGATTTATGGATTTAGTCTGATAAAGCATGGGGTACAGCTGCTGCTGGGCCCCTCCGAGGCTCCCAATGCTTCGCAATAGCAGGCTTTGGAGAGGCGGAAAAGGTTAAAGATGAAAATAAAAAATTCACATAAAACACAGAGAAAATGAGAAGAGGGGAAACTGTAAACGAATGGCCAAATTATTTCTCTGCTTTAAAACTTGGAATTGAAAAAACTTAAAGAAGTTTCCAGCTGTTGGGGTCAAAGGCCTCATTTTAAAAGTCCTTCCTGTCGAGGAATCTTGTGCAAGAAGAGACAATATGGAGACTGAGACAAAGGTCAGAAAAAAACAACGTCTTTATAGCAGCAGTAAAGTCACTCCTTTTGGGATCCAGGATGTCTCTTTCCTTTTGTGAAATCAGAGGCCCTTTCTCAGTCAGAGAGCATTCAATTTCTGAAGAAGCCTCTGCACTGCTCCCTCTGAAGACAGTGAAACATCCTCCGCTGTTACTAAGGGCAAAAGACCAGATCAGACCCCTTGGAAATCATGTGTTTGAGACGGAGAACTGAACAATAGAAGCATCATCTGGCAAAAGCATCTTACCAGGACTCAGGGAGACTGAAAATCAGGAATGAAGCCTTTGAGGTCTTCAGGCGCCTGGTATACACTGTTTATATTTACAGCAAACAGATTTCTTCAGGAGTAACTGGCTGCTACTTTTAGAAATTCTGGCAAAGAGACTTTCTTCCCCTAAGGAGCTTACTTAAAGGTCATCAAGAAAAAAAATCTCTTCCCTAATTTTCCCCTTGCTGCATGAAGTAGTCTCACAGTTGGGGTTTTTGTTTTTTGTTTGCCTCTTATCCTCTCTCGCAAATGCAATAGGGAGAGAGAGCGGAGCTATTTTTAGCAAAACCTCACTTCGGAGCTGGTTTTAATATTGAATAAAGCAGGTTTCTTTCCCAAACACAGGCACTTGGGTTTTTGTTTGTTTTTTAGTTCTGTACTGAATAGGCAAAACTGACACCTGACAAAAATCTTCAAAGAAATACTTAGTCTTGCTTCTGATCAACTACATTTTTTTTGCATTGGACCAAGAGAAACTCATGCTTGAAAGTTTCACCGAGACCAGTTTTTGATGCACCTGGCCAAACACTGATGCATTGGCCTTTGGATAACTCTCGGTAGGATACACGTGGTCTCTTTCTCACGCACACAAACACACACTCCCATACAGAAAGAGAGAGAGAGTGACCAAGCACTGCTAAGACAACATTAGGCATCAGTGCCAGACTGATGTACAATCTAATTACTATGTAAACTCATGTATAAGTCTAGATAATAAAAAAAACGGATCCCAACAACCTGGATCAGCTTATCCACGGGTCAGTATAAATACTATATCATAACTCTTATTTAAAACAAGAACTGTCCTCTTCTTTAAGTAGAGTGACAAAAGGCAAGAACTGAGTCTGTTCTGAAAGAACCTCAAAGAAGCACTGAACCCATTTACTCTCAATGACATGACACCACTTCTGGCCTTTTGGAATGCCTGGGTGAGAAATGGCAGTGGCAGTGGCCAAGGATGGATGGCTCCCTGTGTTGTTTTCTCCCCTATTTGGACTTGACTTATCCACAGGTCATATCAAAATCCATAATTTTGGTCCCCAAACCTCCCTGAGTTATACATGAAGTCAATTTAACACAAGTATATTTATTTATTATTTATTTATTTGGGGCTTTTATTTCCCATCCTATCTCAACCTCCAAAGAGGGACTCAGGACGGTATATATGGTAAGTAACAAGTTGGACATGGTGGGGCTATGGCAGAGGTGTTGCACACACACACACACACACACACACACATGTTTATGCTATCCAGACATTTGTAGGCTATGCACGGTCATAGCTGGCAAACCAGCAGATTCCTTTTCACTCTGTGCAAATGTAGTTAGTGTTTTTGTAACTCTTCCGGGTTCTATAAAGGTCAAACATATATAAAATTTCAAATGTAGTCACATACACAGCAAGTTACTGTATTTTCTGGCATATAAGACTACTTTTTAACCCAGGAAAATCTTCTCAAAATCTTCTTATAGGGCGGGTGCTGAAACTTCCAAGCCAGAATGGAGAATCTGCGGTTACCACATATGGTGGGGGGAGCTCAAAAATGGCTACAGCCACATCCCCGCTGTATGCGGCAACTGTATGAAAGCAGCAAGGGCAGAGATGTACAAGTACAGTAGAAGAAAATCCACTCACCAGAATTCATGGAAAGAAGTGATTTAACGTGGTCCCCATGATGAGGTGAGGGGGCAATTTATCGGGAAGGTGTAACTGAAGGGCGGAGCAAGCCGCATGCATCTGGGACACCCAGGGTATGGAAAAAAGAGATATAGTGGTGCTGAGCCCAGAAAAACACACCTATTTTACCCGTCTGGCCGGCCCTTGTATACTATTACCATACCTCTTTCTCTGCCTCTCAGATCTCGCTCCTGAAGACTGCAGTGATACAGCGTAGGTGTGCATGTGCACGATCTGAGAGGCAGAGAAGGAGGTACAGTAATAGCAAAATTACCATATCGAAATTCAATATGATTTTTTTTAAATTGGTGTGCATTGAAAGAGGGATAGTTTTATACAGCGAGTATATCCCAAATTCTATATTTTAACTGGAAAAGTTGGGGGTCATTTTATACACCCTGTTGTCTTATACGCCAGAAAATATGGTATATAACAAATTGAATCCATATCCAATGTCCCAAAAATTCCATAGCAGTGATTATATGCATGCAAGGGATTTAATAGTAAAAAAGTTATCATCAGTAGTACAGCATGCAATTTTAAAGACAAATCTTTAAGCCTTACATAAGAGATACAGCCTAGGTGCCAAAGCATAACAGAATTTCCACTATAGATAATGTACTTTTTTGTCTCTTCCTAATTAGATAATTGAACATTCTGCTACCTCATTCAGAGTCAAATGGGCCAACCCCTTATCTCTGGTAAATGGAGTTGCTCCCTTCTTCCTCTCTTTTTGAACTCAAATACAGGTAGCCTTTTTAAATATGACATGTTATGTTCTAGATCATTGCTATACAGAATACATCATCCTAAAGCAGTGTTTCTCAACCTTCCTAATGCTGCGACCCCTTAATGCAGTTCTTCATGTTGTGGTGACCCCCAACCATAAAATTATTTTTGTTGCTACTTCATAACTGTAATTTTGCTACTATTATGAATTGTCATGTAAATATCTGATATGCAGGATGTATTTTCATTCACTGGACCAAATTTGGCACAAATACCCAATACGTCCAAATTTGAATACTGGTGGGGTTGTGGTTGATTTTGTTATTTGGGAGTTGTGGTTGCTGGGATTTATATTTCACCTACAATGAAAGAGCATTCTGAACTCCACCAATGATCAGATTAAACCAAACTTGGCACACAGAACTCCCATGACCAACAGAAAATACTGGAAAGGTTTGGTGGGCACTAATATTGAGTTTTGGAGTTGTAGTTCACCTACATCCAGAGAGCACTGTGGACTCAAACAATGATAGATCTGAACCAAGTTTGGCACAAATACTCAAGATGCCCAAATGTGAACACTGGTGGAGTTTGGGGAAAAGGAGACCTTGACATTTGGGAGTTGTAGTTGCTGGGATTTGTAGTCTGCCTACAATCAAAGAGCATTCTGAACCCCACCAATGAATTGGGCCAAACTTCCCACACAGAACTCCCACGACCAACAGAAAATACAGTGTTTTCTGATGGTCTTTGACGACCCCTCTGACACTCCCTCGTGACACCCCCTCAGGGGTCCCAATGCCCAGGTTGAGTAACACTGTTTTAGATCATGGCTATAAAGCATATATCACGCTAAAGTGAATCACAGCCTTTTAAAAATTTGCCAGTACATTTTCAAGCCTAAGAATGTATTCACACTATAATTTATTGAGTGCAGAAATCAAAAGTAATACATTGAACATTGACAAAGTATGACAGAGATACAATGTGCGTAAATGCTGTGAACAGATCGCACTCAGGTAACAAAATTGCATTATATGATTGAAAAGTACCATATTAATGAAGTGCTTTATAGCAAGGTACGCCTGCTTTTAGGGTTTAGGTTAAGAACATCCCTGCTTTTAGGGTTTCTTCATCCATGGGGCCAAACCAATAATACACAAAGGCTATACTATGATACTAGGTTGATTGATGGGGCTCCCTCCTATATGATACTGGGAATTTTAGTTTTGTAAGGCATTTAGACTTCTCTGCTAGGCAGCTTTAGCAACTCATTAAACTACATATCCATTGGATGCAGCCATGTCAACTGAGGGGCTAAAAAGTTCTGTAACTGTGTAGTGTGAAATAGACTGCAAAGTTAGCTTCCTGTCACTTCCAGAGAAGGAAAGTCTGCCTAGGCTTGTGTTTGGTGATCTTTTATCTCATCCATCATTATCACCACCTTCTTTCTACTCAAGCTGCTCAATCTGAAGTCTTCAGTATCCCAAGTGAGGAGAATTTGAGCCAGAAAGAACAAACTCCTGGACACTCAACCCAACTCAATGGTTGAATTTGTTGTTTTTATGTTGTTTCTTATTGCTACAGTATTTGCTTATTTATTTACAGTATTTATATTCTGCCCTTCTCACCCCGCAGGGGACTCAGGGTGGATTACAAAGCACATATACATGGTAAACATTCAATGCCATTAGTCATACAACATATATAGACAGACACAGAGGTAATTTAACATTCCAGATTTCCAGCTTCATGAGGGTATGCTCGATTCCGGCCACAGGGGGAGCTGCCGCTTCACCGTCCACTTGTGACACTAGGTCCTTAATGGAGTACTTATGGAGTTCTTATGCATGCTGATGGAAGGTTTTATGGTGTCGTAAATTAGTTAAATTAGCCTCCCCACATAAAGAGGTACCTAAATTTCCTACTTGACAGATGCAACTGTCTTGTGGCTGCATAGGTCAACAGGAAGCAAGACTATTAATGGTCGGGAGCTCACTCTGACCCAGGCTGGCTTTGAACTCATAACCTGTCAGTCAGTAGTGATTTAATGCAGCTGGCTAATAACTAGCTGTGCCACAGCCTGGTTGTGTTAGTGTGTTATGTTAGTGCTGTCTGTTGCTGTGAGTTCCAAGCAAGTGTTGCAGTTTGATACAAGAAAAGAGAATAGAATGATCACAATTCCTGCTCGGAGAACAACTTGATTTTTTAAAAGATTAGTACAAACATAAGAAGTGATCCTTCTTCAAGCAGACTTAAAATGATGAATTAATGGTGTGCTGTATAATTAAATGTACATTAATTAATGAGCCCTTGGTAGTGCAATCGGTTAAACACTTATGCCGGCAGGATTGCTGACAGACAGGTCAGCAGTTCGAATCTGGGGAAAGTGGGTTGAGTTCCCTCCGTCAGCTCCAGCTCCCCATGCGGAGACACGAGAGAAGCATCCCACAAGGATGGTAAAACATCAAACATCCGGGCGTCCCCTGGGCAACGCCCTTGTAGACGGCCAATTCTCTGACACCAGAAGCAACTTGCAGTTTCTCAAATCACTCATGACACCAAAAAAAAGTGCATTAACCAACATAACCAGTCCTCATCATGGCTTGAGATTAACACAACCAAAGTTGGAATGGAGCTGGGCA